TAACCGGGACTCATCTCCTCAGGATGATGCTCTGGGAACTTAAGAAACATGAAGAACTGAAAACCGTGTTCAATGTTATATTGATTTGCTTGCATCATATCAAACAACACAAGATGATGATCGACTGACACGTAATGAACGATGCTGCTACAGCCAAAAACATTGGACATCAATCCTCGCAATGGAAATGATGGCTCGTGCGGCTCAACTTTGGCAGAGCATTGAAGTAACTCCGTGGGTGTGATTTAGTTCGTTTATAAACATAAAATGTGTTTGATCATGTTCACTCACATCCTCTTGAGTAAAGATGTATTAACCTTTCTTCTCCGCCGAGCATCAGTTCCTTGAATCTTGTTTTTTCCTTTGTTCCCTCGCCTGTTTTATATATAATCACTCCATGGAAAGATAAAAAGAGACGTGTGTTCCATCACTTTAAGCTTTTCTCCTTATTTGAACGGGCACAAGATTGCATTACAGTGAAGAAACCATGTGCTTCTGAATAATCTAAATCTGGATTACAAGTAATTTGAAATTGAGAACAGAATCAGCTGTATTTCTACTGTTAGGAACAGCAGTTCTGTGTTGGTCTTTCTTGCACTAAATAAACAGATCTCTACAGTCCACTAAACTCCGATTCTTTACTCTCTTTGCTGCTATTGAGTAAGGTTTACTAATGTATAACAAGTTTTCTAGCAACTAGACGGATTCCAGCTCTCTGCTGACAATCATAAGGCTCTATAGACAAGAAAGCGTCAAGAACAGTTCCCGGATTCACCAAAGACTCGAGCTCCTCAGCCCTCGGATTGCCGGAAATGAGTTTCTGAGTAGTAGTAGCTCCAGATAACTCTCTCTGATGTACCTCGGCTGCATACCGGTCTACATCTCCATTTAGCTCTGTCGGTATACTGCACAATCAAAGAAACAATCAGGAAATGCTAAGCAAACATTTTTCTAAATGGAATCAGTCAAAGGAGATATAGGCAAACTTACCGTATCCTTGCTGTAGGACAGTTCAGAAATCCTTTCACTGGAATGAGCGCCGGGTTCCAGTCAGAACCACTACCTGAATCAACAGATATTTTCTGTGCCGCACTGTCACATTCTTGCAATACGTTGCAGAGACTTGGATACAGATCAACTACAAAGTTCAATTTCCGTCTCCCAGCGTTGTCCAGAAATTTCCCATTGATTCCAAACCGTACTTTCAGGCGAGGACAATGGAGTCGAAGAGGTCTGTCCCCAAGGAAGAGCTGTATCTTCATCCTTTGGTTCCCATGATATAACGGGACATCAATTGCTTTGATACTTGAAATCGATACTTTATCTAGCTCCAAGTATCCATCCTGGTCACCGGTCTCTTCAGAGGCAACAGGCTCAGATGGCTGGTTTTGTACATCTTCCACGGGAATATCTGAATGAAGAAACTCAGGGGCTATTTCGTTCCTCAAAGTGCTCGTATCAAACGGATCCGTTTGAGCTTCTGCGGGTGAAACAAAGGAGAGAATAGGTATAGATGTACTGTTCTCCCTTGTCTGCTGATCAACGGGAGATTGCAGAGGAGATGTTTTGATATTCGTACGCCTTCTTGAACTTGTTTCTGGAGTAGTAGTAACCGAGTTCTCTACAAGTTCATCTGGCAGGCTTGACTCCTGTTGAAACATAGCATGCTTCTAAATTAGCTCCTCTTAGATACATTACACTACTAAAGTCTAGCCTAAAAATCCTGCAAGAGACCGATTAGGACACAGGATAATCCATCGCAAAGAGATAAAGAGAGCTTACCAAGAACAAAACAGTGGCACAATACTTGAGAACCTCGAAATTCATCCTGACATCGTCTAGGCTCCTGAAGAGATATTAAACATACAAAGCATTAGAACAACCAGCCTATGAAAACACTGTAATACAAAATGCTCGCATAGGTTATACTTACCTATGCGTCTGGTTGCCAAGTCCAAAATATGCAGCCAATGTCGCCATCTGTCCAAACAAAGTCCACAGGAGAACGAATAAGCATCCAACAAAACCGTCAAATTAAAATTCATGAGCTAATCTCCATCAAGCAAACACAAAAGAATCTAAGAACCAGAGAACATGTCTCTCTCTAGTATCATTGTTACCTTCATATCACCAGCTCTCCTCCCAAACCTTTGAGTAAGCAAAGCCAACGAGTCAATGGTACCTTTTGGCTCTGGTGAATCTCGTCCAATCTCAGCAAATGCTTCTCTTATCCTTAGACAATCAAACCTCAATATGTTATGACCTGCCCATATTCTTCCTACAGTATAATTATAAACCCAACAAAAACAAACATCAACACAACTAAGCAAAAGAAACCAGACAAGCAATGGAACAGCAAAAAGCTAAAAAAATTATGCTTTCAGTGCCAAAATTCCCAAAAAGAACATAATTTTCGCATCAAAGCGTACACCGAAAGACAGAAGCGACGAAATTAAGAGAAGAAAGACAAAAGTTTTAACCATGGAGAATATCGTAGACGGTGTCGGCAATATCTGCAAACGTAGGTTCTGACTCGACGTCCTCTCGCTTGATGCCATTGCACTTCACCGACCGAGCCGTGATGAGATTAAGGTTAGAGGGTCGAACCAGGGTCGAGTAGTTTCGAAGCTCCACTAGCTTCTTCGGACAAACCAGGATCGACCCAAACTCAAGAATCGCGTAACCTTGGCCAGGTCGAAACGGAATTGTCGTCTCGACGTCGAAAAAAGCAATCTCTGAACGATCCTCCACCGGAGTTAGACCACCCATTGTTAACGGGTCGGATTCGATTCACCGGAAAATGTGAAAAGTATCTTTTTTTTTTTGGGATGGGGTAAACGAAATTGAGCGGAGATTTATATAACGAAGGTTGTTTACTTAGTAAGATGGGTTTGCTTAATTTGTTTGTAGGCAAAGGCACGGGATAATTCTCGAAAAACACCCGAAGTTAGCTGCATTTGTTGAAAAAATACCCAAATTTTTTTGGCTACCCGATAAATACACCAACTATTTAAGATTGTTCAAACTTTATATACTCGAATTTTTAAAATAGATTAGTTTTACTACCTCGACATTTACGGTGTCAATTCGACTAACGGAAGTTACTGTTTGCTACAATATCTTCTTCTTCTTCCCCAAATAGATTTTGGGATTTAAGAATCTTAAAACCCCAAATTGATTTTGGATTTCAATTCAAATTCTTGATTTTGCTCATTTTCATGGAAATCCATCTCCATAAGAAATGCCTTGAGGTTTGTTAAATCATATTTTAGGGGGTAGTTGCAGAGAGAGAAGAAATGGGTTGTGAAACCAAAAATTTAAGGGAATTTAAATTGAAATCCAAAATCAATTTGGTGGGGTTTTTAAATCCCAAAATCGATTTGGGGAAGAAGAAGGTACGGTAGCAAACAGTAACTTCCGTTAGTCAGATTGATACCGTTAATGTTGAGGTAGCAAAACCAACCCATTTTAAAAGTTCGAGTATATAAAGAACAATATTAAATAGTTGGTGTATTTATTAGGTAGTCAAAAAAGTTTGGGTATTTTTTCAGCAAATGCAACTAAGTTCGGGTGTTTTTCGGGAATTTTCTCAAAAAGACACCTTGTGAAATGGGTTCTCTTTCTCGGTCGGTTTTCCTAAGAAAAAAGTACTTTTTTTTTGTTGACCAGAAGATAAATTATAAAGTGTTTTTTCTTTGAGAAATTTCAAAAAATATCAATTTTCGAGTACTATTTCACAAAAATATCATATTTTTGAAATCTTTACAAAAATACCATTTTTTTAAA